AAAAAACCCTCTGGTTTTCAGCCCAAACAAATCATGGTAAGACCCTTCATGTGTTGAGTTTATCCTCACAGTGTCCTGGCAAGATGCTGTTACCATCACATCACCCCCATTTTATAGATGAGGGCACTGAGGCACAGAACGCTAGGTGAGCTGCCCAAGGCCCCGTGCATGCCAGCGCCAGGATCCAGCGGAGGTAGAGATGATTCCAGACTGGTGCTTCCAGACACCGTACTGCCCTGCACTCTACCAAGTCCTGTCTGAGCCACGCTGAGCCCGGAGCAAAGCCTCCGCCCTGGGACGTGCCAGCTGCCTGGGGCTCGGCATGGTGGAGGAGACAGGCTGTGCCCACGGGCTTCTCTGCCGCTTGCCCGGCGACGGCAGAAAGTGGCCTCCACTGGCTGCCACCGTGGTGCTTTGGGGGACCCTCTCTGCTTCATTTCCTGCTCTGTCCCTCCGTCAGGTGGTGGCCGCTGAGCCCTGCTCTTGAGGCGGGGGACACCCCTCCTTCTGGACCCACAGCTGCTGAGTCACTCCCAGCTCTGCTTTGTCTGTGCTTTATAAACCTTTTAGGTGCTTTGCCCTTTTCTGCTTAGTTGTACTTCTTTGCTACTGTTATTTCTCTTCTCTTTCTGCTGCATGAAGAGACCACCTTCCTTCTAAAAATAAAAGCATTGCCTTTCATTCTCTTCCAGGCGCACCCCTCCCCCCCTTTATCCCATTGGGTTCTCCTGTGGGCGGGGCACAACGACATCATTGTTTCTCCCACCAATCCTGGCTTTGTTAATTACCCCACCCAATCCTGGGTAAAAGTAGCTACTTCTTACTGATGTTGGAAAGCCGCTACCAAGATAGGGTGAGAAAACAGGCTGGAAAGGTTTTCCCAAAGGAGGGCGATGGAGGAAGGGGGGAGGTGGCCAGGCTGCTGGATGCCGGATCCTGAGTGTAAGGACCTCTCCTTTCATTTGTCGGCTTGGCCGGTAAACGGCCCAAGCCCCTCTTAGGCTTCCCACCACTTAGATATCCTTGTCTGACCTCCCCCGTTCTGTGTTCTCAAATGCACCTTTATCGCACCGTACATGTTTTCATCTTCATAAATTGCTTTTGAAATATGTGGCCACAAGGAGCTCAGTTCATCTACCGTTGGCTGAGTCCTCAGCAGCCACCGTGCATCCTTGACAATTCTTGTACAAGAAAACCTGCTCCATACTGCGGATCCAAGGGATTTTGTTACGAGTATTAAATGTAACAGTTAGTGCTCTGGGCACGCCGTTGCATTTTATAACATTTACTTAAACAGCAATTGATTTTGCATTTTCCCTTTTGTTCTCAGGTTTGGAACGTGATGAATTTTGTGTAAAGATCTCTTATGTCCATAGATCCTTGAAATGCTCAAGAGGCTGTGTCTTAAAGGTTAACGGGCAAAAGAGTCTAGTAAGAAATCGCGCATCTTTGAATTTCCAGCTGTGCGTTTAGATCTCTGCCTTTCTAGTGCTTCAGAAGCAGGAGGGGTATGAAACCACTTTTGTCCGCTGGCTGTCTCTGTGCAGGTTTCTAAAGGTAGTGGGCAAGGGACAGATGCCTAGGAGCAATGCCAAGGTTTGAATAAATACCAGCTACTATTCTGGCTATCTGGGAAGGTCTGTGCGTTTATGCACAATCTGTGGAATTGCTTCCTCTGCGGGAGGACGTTCACAGTGAATATTTATTTTCAGACAACTCTACGTGTTTACGTGGAAGCATATGTTGGGCTGTGAAATAAAAAAATTTTGTTTTTCCCCATTCCCAGGTCATGCGTGGAATTTTTGTCAAGTAGCAGTCCTTTGGTTACAATATGTATACTAAACCCATATGGTTTTCTCATACCATTCTTCGTATTTTTTCAAATGCATATTAATGAGATGTTCGGGGCAACCAAAACTTGATGGAGAACAGTTTGAATATGTGGTTCCAAAAAAGCACGGGCTTCCATTGAGTTGAATGACAAGCTGTTAATGTATTTCAAATGTGTCGTAGAGTGAAAATGAGAATTTTCCAGAACACGTTCAGAAAAGGCTGACCTTTCTCACGATGCTGTTGCATGGATGAATTCACAAATACACCCATCTCCGTGTAGCCGGCATGGAAACAAGGATTTAAGAGTTGGGCAATTTATGTAGGGAGTTAGCTAGGGAGAAGGGTTTGTGGGGGGGAAATTCTGATTGATTTTTACACGACATCAATTCCCTGAACAGTTGCCAGTCATTTTATCACATCTCTTGGTAATTTGCTGATCGTGCAATAAAAAGTATTCTTTTGGGGGGCGCCTGGGGGCTCCGTCGGTTAGGCGTCTGACTTCTGCTCAGGTCATGATCTCGCAGTTCATGAGTTTGAGCCCCCGCATCGGGCCTTGTGCTGACGGCTCAGAGCCTGCTTGGGAGCCTGCGTCTCCCTCTCTCTCTGCCCCTCCCCCACTCATGCTCTCTCTGTGTCTCTCTCTCAAAAATAAATAAACGTTTAAAAAAGTCATCTTTTTGGTACAAGCCTGAGGCAGTGTTCGAGCTGGAGTTTGGGAGGAAAGCCAGGCCTCTTAATTACTTTCAAAGCTTCTAAAATCTCTTCAGCACATCTTAGTTCCTCCTGGTGCTCAATACTGCTGTCGATATTTACATGCTGCTTCCCTTGGAGGAAGCCATAAGTCATCTTAAAATAGTGTAACGTGGTGGCTGGAACGATATGCCTGGATTTTTCTCGAAACTTAATAAGAGCTGAAAGGCACACCCACGTGTCTCTCCAGTGGGATCAAACACAATTCTGTGTGCCCCCAGCTAACTGAGATCTCGCTGATGAAGGTGGAGTCTCATTTGGTTCCCCAGAAGGGCTTGCAGTCACTCACTGCTGCAGATTTTCTTCTGGAAACTTCTGAACACAACTGGCATCGCAATGCGAGGGCAACCCGTGGATTTCCGTTACGATGCAGTTGCCTAAATACTGGAAATAGGTGATCTGGTTTGAAAAAGAGCCAACTTTTTCTAAACTTCCTCATTTTGAGTGGGTTAATTCTGTTCTAGGAAAAGTTTTGACAGAATTGCTTTCTGGGTGCCAGCAAAATGTTATGTTAGAAATAACGGTGTTTACTTCCATTCTCTATTTTTTCCATAAACTTTTAGAAGTTCATTTCCTAAATATGACTTTTATTATTTTACTTGACCTAGCCAATATAAATGGTGTTAAGTCATTATTGCCATCAACATAATGGCACTTTCTGCCCCGCAAAATAGGAAAAATAAACCCTTTCACCCCTGAAACACAGAGTTGGCTTGGCTATGCTTCTAAGGAAGTCAGACATGGATGGGACCAACCTAAACTTTGCCCCATAGAAATTCTTTGCGTTGCCTTACTTGGATCTGTGGATGAGCCTGATATCACCAAAGATCCTCACCGAAGACCCTGTTCCCAAGACACAGAACTTGGGATGCCGATACTTGTGCAGGTGCTCGGTTCATTGTGTGTCTCTGGGAGAGAGGCAGCGATGAAGCAGACAGGGCAGGGGTAAGGCTGTGGGGGCTGGTGGCCTTAGCCGGAACCTTGCTCTGGTCTGGTCCTGCAAGGAGCTCACGAGTATGAACAGCGTCACAGAGCTGGCCCCTCCTTGAGGCAGTGAGACGGGGCCTGTGGTGCACGGTGTCAGCCCCTCTGGCTGTGGGTTGCCCTGGGGGGTCGGGGGGGAGGTGAAGCAACTCCTGTTCAGCCAAGGGCAATATTCTGGAGAAGAGGGAGGAAGGCAGCCACCATCCCCAGCAGCCGAGGGACGGGCGCACAGGCAGGTTAAGGCGTCTGCATGGATCACCACTAAGCACCCGCTTCCGTCTCTGAAGAAACACTGCCTTTAGCTCAGAACCTGTTCTCACTGGTGTTCTGTTTCCTTCCCCCCCCTCCTCAGGGAGTGGGCAGATTCAGCTGTGGCAGTTCCTCCTGGAGCTGCTGTCGGACAGCTCGAACTCCAACTGCATCACCTGGGAAGGCACCAACGGGGAGTTCAAGATGACGGACCCCGATGAGGTGGCCCGGCGCTGGGGAGAACGGAAAAGCAAACCCAATATGAACTACGACAAACTCAGCCGCGCCCTCCGCTACTACTATGACAAAAATATCATGACCAAAGTCCACGGGAAGCGCTACGCCTACAAGTTTGACTTCCACGGGATCGCCCAGGCCCTCCAGCCCCACCCTCCAGAATCATCTCTGTACAAGTACCCCTCAGACCTCCCTTACATGGGCTCCTATCACGCCCACCCACAGAAGATGAACTTTGTGGCCCCCCACCCTCCCGCCCTACCCGTGACCTCGTCCAGTTTCTTCGCCGCCCCAAACCCCTACTGGAATTCGCCAACCGGAGGTATATACCCCAACACCAGGCTTCCGGGCAGCCACATGCCTTCTCATCTGGGCACTTACTACTAACGACCTGAGGGAGGCCTTTCCCAACAGCATACAATCACCAAGAAATTGCCACCAACTCTATCGGAGAACGTGAATCAAAGTGCCTCAAGAGGAATGTAAAAGCTTGACTGGCGCTGGGGAAGGAAGCCAGGGACGAGATCCAAAGACTCTTAACGGGAGGGATTTACTAAAGTATTACTCCAGGAATAAAGAGGATGCGAAAAATGTAACGTTATCTGGACACCTCGGGTGTGGACCCACCTTGTAAAAGACATTGTAAGTAGAAGCATGAAGAAGTCACGAGGACCAAGTGCCAAAGAAAGTGTTCTTAAGAAACCTATAAACTTCAGAGGGGAGTTTGGGGTCCCGCTAGTGCAAACGGGGATTCAAGTACAGTGAGAGTGGTAACACAGCTTTCCCCTGACATACCATTTACATGTCATTTTAAGGAAAACTACCTGTATTTAAAAATAGAAACATATCAAAAAAGAAAACAGAGAGACCGTGGCCCGTCGACAGATACCGAGATGGAACTCAGTAGAACGCGCTATTTGGGTGAAATCAGATGCGTTCCGTTCGGGGGAGAGCCACAGCTCCTGGACGGTATCAGGGGAACTGAGCCCGGCGGTGGGGCCGGGGCCGTCTGCGGACAGCGAGCGTGTGGTTGTAGACAGAGGGCTGGAGGAGGTGCGAGAGAAGGGAGCGGAGGAGGAGGAGGCCAGAGGGCTGGGAGAGACGCTTGTCAAGCAGTGGAGACCGGACTTGGGACAGTGCAGAGGCCGGAGACTGAGTCGGGAGACTTGCGGGTTCATTGGTCGGTGCCCTACCAAACCCAGTGTTAAGAGGAAGAATATGGCGTCCAGGACGAGGGGAAAGTAGTAGAATTCAGGAACAAGAATACGCATCTCTCTTTTTTGTTTGTTTGTCTGTCTGTCAAAAGAAAAATTTAACTGGAATTGTCTGATATTTAAAAGAAACATTCGGGACCTCATCGTTATGGGGGGGGGGGCTCTGTTCCCCACAGGGTCAGGTAAGAGGTGGGTAGCCTTCTTCGATGCTGCCATCGGAAACCATCTAGGCGTTTGGGTTAGGCAGAGGCTCCGGGTTTCCTTTCGAGTCGCAAACGCTGTGCGTTTGTCAGAATGAAGTATACAAGCCAATGTTTTTTCCCCCCTTTTTATATAATAATTATATAACTTATGCATTTATACACTACGAGTTGATCTCGGCCAGCCAAAGATACACGACAAAAGAGACAATCAATGATAGAATGTGGCCTTGAATTTTAACTCTGTATGCTTAATGTTTACAATATGAAGTTATTAGTTCTTAGAATGCAGAATGTATGTAATAAAACAAGCTTGGCCTAGCATGGCAAATCAGATTGACCCGGGAGTCCGCATTTGCACTTTGTTAGCGACTGAAGTTGCCTAACAGAGATGTGTGCTGAACTTCGGGTCTTGTGTTCTGGTTTTATTTTGTCCGGGAATTCGTGCGAGAGCCAAGCAAATAGGATGTTTGGCGCCCAAACGGTGTTGGCCTCTGCAGGCCCTTCCTGCTCACTCTCTCTTCCTCCTCGTCTTTCTGGAGCAGACGACCAAAGGTTTCACGTTGGAACCTCCATGTGTGTGTGCCCAGAATGGAAAGAGGCCTCTCGAGCGGGGGTTGTGACAGAAATTCCAGAGAAGCACTTGGTCACAGATCACCCTCAGTCCCTGCCAGGATCATAAAACATTGGTTGAACGGCGAACCGATCTACTGCTCTTAGCGCAAACTGTAACCTTGTTGGTCAATAAAGTGTCGTGGACAGCCAGTTTCTCACTTTACAGGAACAAGGGATGGCTTCTAAGTTTACCACTTGGCTTCCCTTTGAGAGGCCCTGGCCGGGTCCACAGTTGCCTTAATCTTCCCATGCTGGGATGATCTGGGCACTGTGGTTTGGGGTTCGCCAGCCTTGAGCCTCACATGTCCACAGACACTATTCCTACGATCTGAAGTCGTTGGTTGCCCTTGACATCTTCTCTCTTCTGTGTGTGTCACCTGCCCCCAACTTTGGCCAAGGTGAGGGCAGTTTGAGAGGTGGGATACAGAGCAAGGGAGAGGCACCAAAATCGAACTTCTTAGCCTGAGTCAGTTTCTGAACTGGCCCAATTCATAGCCGTCTTGGGGCTCGTTTCGCACTTTGTAAGTCTTTCGCTATGATTAAATCAAGTTGCCAAACCTCTGTGCTATGGATATTTTGGCAGTGGTCTTTAAAGTCAGTAGGATCCGATTACCAAAGCTTCAGACGCTCTGCATTACTTGGATTAAAAGAAGGCCAACCATCAATCATTTTGCAGCAGCTTGGGAAAGGCCCATAAAGTGTCTGTATCTCCTGGGGGGGGGGGGGGGGGGGGGGAATAAAAACATGAAAGCTGGCAGCTGGGGTGACCCAAACGTTTCTAATGGAAAAAATCCATCATCTCCATTTTGAAATGCAGAGTCAAAGACACCTACATTTTGCATATAAATATGAGTTTGCTCTGATGATCACTCCATTCCACTCCTTCAGAATTATATCATGAGCAAAATCGTAAAAATAAGACCTGATTAGCATATTCCATTTTAGCAGATGTTTTCAGTTAGGCTCTCCAACACCCACCCGGCCCAGATGATTAGCAAGCTTTACGACAAGCGTGAGCAGCCGAGATGATTTCGGATGACACGATACTCCTGTGTTCTCCCAAATAAATAATTCTTAAATTACATCTCAAAATAACATTCGCTACCTGCTCCTGTCTTAGTCTAACTCCAAAACACTCTTCAGTTCATATTCGTAATTACACGAAGGACCTTTCCCTTCTCAGCTTCTCCCGTTTCTTCGTTTGCCCTGATGTACGCTCCTGACCCCTGCATGGCATCACTTCTCCCAGCGAGACATTCGTCCAGTTTTGTCTTAAATGGCCTTCTGGGCTTTGTGGAAGCCCCGCCGTAGCCTTTTGGGTACTTGGTAGCATCCCTGCTCTTCCCAAATCTCAGGCAAGACTTCATTTATGCTCCCAGTCTGCTGCCTTTGCCAAGTCTCGAAGACTCCATGGTGAAGCCATCTGTCGGGACTGATGCATTCGGAGGAGGTGTTGTCCCTCCCAAGCGCCTGTCTGTCCTGATGCAGCACCTGCCACCTGGGGATGAGGGCCCAGAGGGGCTTGCCTTGGATGGCGGGCACGGCATAGACTCCTAAAGCCCTGGAACTGGGAGATGATGGCAGGTAGGGAAAACACGGGTGTCCTGCAGGCTCCCAAGTGGACCTCTAACTGTGGATACAGTGTGATTTTATTATTTTTTTAATGTTTTTTTTTTTTTTTTTTGAGAGAGAGAGAGAGAGAGAGAGTATGACAGAGCACAAGCAGGGTAGAGGCAGAGAGAGAGGGAGACACAGAATCCAAAGCAGGCTCCAAGCTCTGGGCTGTCAGCACAGAGCCCGATGCGGGGCTTGAACTCATGAACCACGAGATCATGATCTGAGCCCAAGTTGGACGCTCAACCCACTGAACCACCCAGGTGCCCCCAGTGTGATTTCTTAAAGCCTGGTCTAATTGCTCTCTAGTCACTCCACCCAAACAGGAGCTCTGGGGTGGCTAATCCGAGAATAAAAAACACTTTGTACTATGCAAAGTTACATAGCAATTTCAGTTCCTTCTCTTTATCTTAACCTTGGTTGTAAAAATTTGTCAAAATATTTTCAAATCAAATGAGGAAAAGGCTGGACGTTGAAATCAAATGCAAAAAGTAGCCAGAACTTCTTTATCAGAGAGCCATGGTTCTCCAAGTGAGGTCCGAGGGCCAGCATCATCAGCCTCACTTGGGAACTTACCAGCCATGCAGATTCTTAGGCCCTGCCCCAGACCTTCTGAATCAGAAACTCTATGGGTAGGGCCCTGCCATGGGTTCTCACAAGCATACTGATGTTTAAGACCCACTGCAGTGGGCGGACAGAGACTCTGTCTCCAAGCATGAGGTTCAGTGGGAAATCTCTATCCTGTACCGGTTTTTCTGTGGCCGCTTGAAAATCCACCACCAGGGGAACCAATTGCCTCTGGACGTGTCCTCTTGAGTTACAGGCCCTCTGAGCAGTTCTCCTCCTGACTGATAAGTCACCCCCATGTGTATTAGTTACCTACTGCCGAGTAACAAATGACCATGAACTCAGCAGTCTGAAACAAGGCACAGTAATTATGTCACAGTTTGTGTGGGTCAGGAGTCCAGGCACAGTGTAACTGGGTCTTCTGCTCAGGGTCTCACCAGGTTGAAATCAAGGAGTCAGAAGGGATGATGATCTCCCTTGAGGCTGGGGTCCTTTTCCTAGCTCACTGGTTGTTGGCAGAATTTGGTTCCTTGCAGTTGTAGGACTGAGGTCTCATTTCCTTGCCAGCTGTCACCTAGGGATCACTCTCAACTCATAGAGGCCACTTAGAGTCCTTGCCACATGGCACTCTCTGCATCAAGGCAGTTGCTTCTTCGAGGCCAGCGGGAGAATCTCTTTCATGTTGAATCTCTTAGACTTCTTTTAAAGGTTCGCTTGATTAGACGAGGCCCACCTACGTTAACCACCTTTTTAAAATTAACCCAAACTTAGCTCATTAGAGGCCTTAATTGCATCTGAAACTGTCCTTTTGTCATAGAATATAACCGAATCATGAGAGTGAATCATATTCACAGGTGCTGCTCACACACCAGAAGTGAGCACTATGTAGGTAGGGCATCTACACTAGAGGACAGGAATCTTGGCGGCCATATTAGAATTATGGCTACATACCATGGATATGTGGCCTGCCTTCTACCTTGTTCTAAGCACCGCTGGTCAATGAAACCTCCCTAAAATGCACATTGCCAAAAAGACCAGCCACAATTCAGTAGCTTTGTATATCCGAAGCCACGTGCTCCATGGCTCCCTCTCTCCCCTGGCAACATGGACCTCTTTTGGCACGTCTGATGCTCTTAATCTGACTAATCTGAAAAGCTTTATGTTGAACCTGGATGGG